CAAAGAATTACTTTGCTATAAGCAAGCATTTACCTGAATGAAATCGATTCATTCAGCTTTTTTTTTTTTTTTTTTTTTTTTTTTTTTTTTTTTTTTTTTTTGTGCTTAGCTGTGATTTGGCCACAGCTAATCACATGACATGTGCATGTGACCTGCTGTGACCATTCACAGCTAGGTACTAGTATACAATGGATGGCATGAATGAAGCCATCCATTGTATACAACTGTCATGTGACCTGCTGTGATTGGTCACAGTAGGTCACATGGTACCAGCAACGGGGGCCGATACTCAGATCTGTCATCAGCCATGTCCGAGGTACACGGCCGGTGACAGATCGCGCGGCTCTGCAACCGCGTGAACTGCGCATGTGCGGGAGGACGCCAAATGGCGTACACCCCGGAAAGCTACAGCATTTTTGCGGCCGCCAAACGGCTATAGGCCGGGCGGCTAATGGTTAAATACTACACTATGAGTGGCCTTTTTTCTTTTATTCTATATCTAAATATTGGATGGGAGTCTTTTTTTTAGGACCGATTTCAGATATTTAAAGGGGAAGATTGATATCCACCTGGATGAGGATTGCTGATTCCATGATCTACATTTTCATCTCCCATTTGAGTTGCCTATATTGACCGGTGTGTTTTTCGGTCAGAATTTTTGGTAGGAGGATGAACCATTCGGGTGTCTTGGTGATGGTGGATTGTGGTAATATTTTGGGACTTTTTTAACTGGAACTTTTTTTGATTTATTGGACTTTGTTTTTTGATTAGTGCTGCAATTTTATTTATTTACCATTATGTTTATTGCCTGATATGCCACCTGCTTTTCTTTGTCACTTTTTAAGATTAGTGTATTTACCCAAGTGCAGGTTATTTGTATTTGATTTAATATAAATATACTGTATGTATTTTTCACATTGTATTCCTCCTCCTTTGTTAAAGCAGAATTACACTGCGCCTGAGCACCACAAACCAAAAAAACTATTTTAATGATTTTTACTATTCAAATAAACTTTCCCATCCATCCATGTCTCCATGCTTTATTTTGCTGAACGATCACTTTGAAAAACACCCCGCTAGCATTTCTGGCCATGGCCATCTTGAGTAAGGGCAGATGATTCCTGTAGCATTTACTTCCATCTGCCCTTAGCTCATGCATTCTTGCAGGAGGGAGTGCTTAGCTGAGAAAACTCCTCCTCCTCTCCTAAAGGCTCCTGGGGTGTATGAAGTAATTTGCCTAGGCATGGGAACTAGGAAGTGACTGAAAGAATGTAAAGAAAATGTTTAACCACTTCCCAGCTTAGCAGAACTACTGCTATAGGGCGGCAGGGCTGCGCAAAATCACGTATAAATATATGATTTTGTGCTTCCGAGTAGGGGCCGCGTGCGCCACCCTACCCGCACCACCATTGGCGGCTTCAGCTGTCGATCACCGGGTCCCGGCCAAAGATTCCCCGCTGGCACCTGGCGAATGTCGAGGAACAGTGATAGAGGAGAGGTCTGCATGTAAACATTATAGATCTGTCCCCTGTCAGCTCCAGCACGCTGCTTTGTATTGCTCTGCATAGCAGAGCAATACAAAGCAGCATGCTTACACAGTAAAGCAAATACATCACACACATTAAAACCGCACACAGGTAAGCCTGTGATCACTCCAGATGTTAACCCTTTCCTGCCCAGTGTCATTAGTACAGTGTCAGTGCTTTTTATTAGCTCTGATCACTGTATTAGTGTCACTGGGGATGTCAGTGGCAATTAGTAAGTTCCCCCCCATGTCAGAATGCCCGCTGCAGTCCCACTAGTTGCTGATCGCCGCCAATACTAGTATAATTTTTTTTTTTTAAAATTCCAGTATATATACCGCCATTTATAGAATCTGTAACATTCACGTAAACCAACTAATTTACATGTATTAGGATTTATTTTAGCAAAGACATGTAGCAGAATACATTTTGGCCTAAGTTTATATCGAAATTTGATGTTTTACATTTTTTTACTGGATATGTTTTATAGCAAAAAGTCAAAAATAATGATTTTTTTTTTCAAAATTGTTGGTATTTTTTTCTTTATAGCGCAAAAAATAAAAAATGCAGAGGTGATCAAATACTAATGAAAGAAAGCTCCATTTGTGGGGAAAAAAGGACATACATTTCATTTGGGTGCAGTGTTGTATGACCGACCGCACAATTGTCAGTCAAAGTAACGCAGTGCCATATCGCAAAAAATGGCCTGGTCAGGAAGGGGGGTAAATCTTCTGGAGGGCAAGTGGTTAAAACAAGTAAATATGATATACTTTCCAATCTATTTAGTAATGCTAGCAGCATGATTAAAAATAGTCAATGTTGATTGAGAGGGTGAAGTTCCACTTTAATGTGCAAATACGATACTTTTTTTCTTTATGTATTTTTTTTAAATTTATGGTTCACCTCTCACACTGCTGCCATTCTTGCTTGAGTGAGAGAGACATCATCTCACTCCTGCAGCCTCCTGGAATATTCATGTCACATATCCCAGGATGCGTGTAGTGCCAAGCTGCGGTTTCTAAAGTGAACAAAATCCTCTCTTGTATTAAAAGAGGTATATACTCCAGAGAGAGAGATCATCATTTACCCCTGTACAAATCATTAATAAGACCTCATCTGGAATATGCAGTTCAGTTTTGGGCACCAATTCACAAAAAGAACATTGGGGAACTGGAGAAAGTACAGAGAATTGCAACCAAACTGAATAAGAGGCATGGAGGAGCTCAGCTATGAGGAAAGATTAGAGGAATTTAATGTATTCTCTGTTGAGAAGAGAGATTAAGGGAGGATATGATCAACATGTATAAATACATCAGTGGTTCATAGTGAACTTGGTGTAGAGTTATTCACCATGAGGTCATCACAGAGGATAAGGGGGCACTCTTTATGTCTGGAGGAAAAGAAATTTAATCTCCAAACATGGAAAGGTTTCTTCACAGTGAGAGCTGTGAAAATGTGGAATAGAATCCCTCAAGAGTTGGTTCTGGCCAACTCAGTGGATTGCTTTAAAAAAGGCCTGGATTCTTTCTTGGATACACAGAATATACCTGGATACTAACATTTATAGGTAAAGTTGATCCAGGGAATATCGAATTGCCTCTCGGAGGACCAGGAAGGATTTTTTTTTCCCCTGCAGGAGCAAATTGGATCATGCTTTGCTGGTTTTTTTTGCCTTCCTCTGGATCAACTGTGGGTGTAGGATTATAACTTTTTTTTTTTTTTTCTATGGTTGAACTGGATGGACTTTTGTCTTTTTTCAGCCAGACTAACAATGTAACTATGTATCGGTTGAGGCATCACAGCACTGGAGGAGAGCAGACTCGCAGTCTGTCTTCAGGGGGCTGGCTGCTCATCATTAAAGCAATGGCCGATGATGTCGGTGCAGGACTTGGTGTGCAGCAGAAGCAGAGCAGCAGGTTCCACCTTTTGGGTGCTGACGTCATTGTGCATGTGCGCTCGGTGTCCACCACCCCTCATTCTTCTTACCAACCAATCTAGTGTTCCAACCATCATAAAGAACACAGCAGCTTGCTAAATCCTCAGACCTCAAATATAAGGAGATCTGTCAGCACACTGGGGACAAATCCCAGAGTGGATGGATGGTAACTACACTCTCTCAAAGAAGTGCTCAATAGTGAACCATTGCCAGAAATTGAAGTGCAAATAAGGTTATCATATATGGAACAGTCTTTATAGGATGTATAGAACAGTCCCCTTATTCTACTCTTCACAGAATAAGAGGACTGTTCTATACATCCTATAAGGACTGTTCCATATATGTTAACCTTATTTGCACTTCAATTTCTGGCAATGGTTCACTATTGAGCACTCATTTTTTTTTTCCTGTCCTTCATTGGATATATATTAATTGTATATCATTTATGAACATTTTTATGTTAATATATACTTCACTTAGTGCAACATTAGAGACTTATTTGGATTTGTGATTTAGAGAGGATATCCTCTTGGTGTGTTGCTGCTTTGTACACAATTAGGTTTGGGTATTTGCGCATTTTTTTATTTATTATATCAGTGGAAGTAAATAGAGCATCTTTGGCATTAGGGGGAGGAATAGTGTGTCAAGGTTGTTGTTAGTGGGAGGAATAGTGGCCCATTGTTTGTGTCAGTGGGAGGAATAGTGGCCCATTGTTTGTGTCAGTGGGAGGAATAGTGGCCCATTGTTTGTGTCAGTGGGAGAAATAGAGCCGCATTGTTTGTGTTGGTGAGAGGAATAATGCCCCATCATTGGAGTCAGTGGGAGGAATAGTGCCCCATCATTGGTGTCAGTGGGAGGAATAGTGCCCCATCATTGGTGTCAGTGGGAGGAATAGTGCCCCATCATTTGTGTCAGTGGGAGGGATAGCACCCCATTGGTGCCCCATCTACAGTAGAATTCTCCTATGTTGGTTTTATTGTATGGTACAATGAAAGAGAAATTTGGACAGTGGTTCTAAAGGCTGAAGGTTTTTTACCTTCATGCATTCCATGGATGAAGGTAAAAAACCTTCAGTGTGCAGCTCCCTCCTCAGCACACATCCAACCCCCCTTATCCTCACCTGAGTCCGATTCTGATCCAGCAGTGTGCATGAGTGAAGAAGCTCTCCCCGGTCTCTTTCTTCTTATTGGAGGAGGGAGTAGGGGATGGGGCCGAGGAGAGAGCTCTGTTCCGTGTCAGTGGACACACAGTTGCGACTCGGGAGCAAGCATGCATGCGTGCCCCCAGAGCAAGCAGCTTGCTCTCCAAGGGGATTGAGAAGAAGAAGATCGGGGCTGCTCTGTACAAAACCATTGCACAGAGCAGGTAAGTATGACATCTTTGTTATTAAAAAAAATCTGCACATTTGCAATCACTTTAAGTACAACTTTCCATGTTCAGAAGAGTAGTTTTTACCAAGCAAATTTGACACCTAGTTTGATTAAAAGGCTTAAAAATTGAAATCTAATTTTTGCATTTTCATTTGTTCATAGCATATCACTATGTCCAGTAAAGAAGTAAAAGCGGTTTTGAAGAATGCCAGAGATGCAATTAGAAATAAAGATTATAAAGAAGCACTCAAGCAATGCAAGGTAATGCTTATGTCTTTCTTAGTCTGTTAATGTTTATAAAGGAGGAGCTGAACTATGTAAGCTGTGCCCGGAAAAGACAGGTAGAAGATAAAGGATTAGTCACCAGTATTGCCTGTTGTCTCGAAGCAGCAGATCTTTACTCATTCCTGATTTACCATGACTTGTTCTGCACTGTGTCTCTGTGTGGAGGCTACCATGTTGGTAGAGCATTACCATCTTGCGTCCTCATTGTCAGAGCCTCCTGCAAGAACAGTGAGCATCACACAGTAGTCATATCACCAAATCTCCACATTTTCTGAGATTAGCGGTCACAGCAAGCAATATCTTGGATTGCTGCTGCAGATAAACAACTATGAGGGCTTGGTCACACTCATACCAGGAAGTACTCTGCTGTTTTTAAGGAATAATTCCATAAAAATGATTCCTTTTTTAGTATCTTAACATTTCTAGACACACCCTATACCATAGCAAATCTTTACTTTTTGAGTTCAGGTCCACTTTAAAATCTATTGTTCCAGTTTATGTAAAGCAAATTTCGATGTATTAATCTGGCAACATAAGTTAAATGTAGTTGCCTATTAAATCTTAAAAACAAGCTAAGAGTCCCGAAACCAAGAGCTCTTGGTAAAGCAAATACTGACTGCATCTGAAAAAATTGCACTTGGAACCACTACAGTCTGTGCCTCTGTTGCTCATTGAGAGTACTCGGTGTATCTGGTGTAGGACCAGTAGTGGGACAGAGAGGTTCCGGCACTGGTACCCTCTCAGCTCCCTGTTAAAGTTTTGCCATTTGGAATGAGATAGAGCTGGGAGTTTTCAGTATTTTAGAAGGTTAGCACTTTCTTTCTAAGGTCAAGTGTGTTGTCCTTAGGTGCGAGTCTTTACCCCCAGCTAGAAGAAATACAGCTCTGCATGTTGCACTTTGCTGGTTTAAAATGAATCTATAGACAAGCAGGCAACAAGTTCATTTTAATGAGGCCCAACCAGCAACTTATATTTCCCTTCCCTATGCTCCCCTGTTGCTTGGTGCAGCTGCTGGAAGAGAAGAGAGCCCTGTATAAGCTCCTAGACATGACCTGAAGCTTTCAGAGTTGAGAACTCCTTTCCCACCCATGACAGTGCTGGTTGATATGGTAGCAGGTTCAGAATTTAGAATTTTTTTATTTTGAATAGTGTAATGAACATTTTCCTCTTGCAGCTATGGAATATCAGTGGGAGGGAGAGGAGAAGACGGTTTTCAGTCATTGCAGGAGGAAAATGGAGGGGATTGGTTCATGTATATGCGTCCACTGCCACCCCATCTGTCTCAGTGTATAACAGAATGTGACAAGGAGGCTGCATGGATCCCCTGGAGCATGGGGTGGATTTTACACCAGTGGTTGATGGAATTTTGTATATACACATCTCAACTGTGGGGTTCCCCCCCAACCACAAATGTAAACGAGCCATTACTGTCCTGAAGCCCCTATAAGGCTGCTTTCGCACTGATGCGCTGCGGCAGCACAGAGCACCTTTGGCTTTCTTGCAGGTTAGCTGTGCTTTGCCATAGATTTCTATAATGTCTTGTGGGTTTGGTACACTTTCTGATAGTGCATCAAACCCACAGGATATAATAGAAGTCTATGGCTCAGCGTAGCTAGCCCGCAAGAAAGCCACAGGTGCATTGCTTTGCACCCACAGATCAATGTGAAAGCAGCCTAATATTTGTTAACCCTTTTATAGGTGCTAATATGCATTTTTTAAAAGTGCAGTGTATGTTTTCTTTAATACACTGACCTGTTTTTCCTCTTCCAGCTTCTGCTGCCATTACTCTCCAGGCTGCTGGAAAGGTTCCGTGGTATCCCTCTGCCTAGGACAGGAGCTGGCACTACAGAGGAAGCATCAGCTTATGCTCTTCCTGCTCTCTCCGTGGCTGCCTGCTTCCTCTGCTGCTGCCAGCCCAATGCGCTCTAATGGGATGGCAGTGCCAGCAAGCCCAAATCGTGATAATTGGGTTGCTGACCCTGAGCATGCGCTTCTCTGATTTTGGGTCGAGGGCTACATTAGAGGGCTCCGAGGGCCACAGGTTCAGCACCCCTAGGCTAAAACCTGAAAATAGGTATATTGCCAAGTTTCAACCCTCTTTGGTGGTTTTCAGTGATGAAAATTAGACTGCACTCTGAGATCCTACCATGAGTGACAAGGGCAGTCTATAGCAACCCATGGAACTAGCTTAGTAGAGTGAGCCATAATAAAGGGGTGTTCTATTAAATTCTAGTTGTATCTAGTTCACTCTTCAACCTCCTATGTTAATGGTACCAGGAAATTGTTGTAATAGAAGTAAAAGAACATTCACTTTATATTAGAATTGCCTATATGAGTCATATATTACTTCAGCTGAAGTAAGCTATCATTGTTTTCTCTTGAATGGAAGTAGATTAATTTACGGATTTGTGCCTCTTTCGCAGAGTGATGTCTTGTTATTACGTCCTTTTACAGCTCCTAGAAAGTAGATATTTAAAGCACCTTTCTTGGAAAGCAGAATTTGTGTTACTTAGCTGTTCAATTAAAGAACACACTTAGCATGCACAATTTATTGCATTATATTTGTATGCAGGTTCCATTTGTTTAATTAGATGGTCAAACCTTTTTTTTTTTTTTTTTTTTTGTTTCATCTAAAGGCAGCTCTAAAGTTGGACAAGAATAACTACAATGCCTGGGTTTTCATTGGGTTAGCTGCTGCTGAGCTAGACCAACCAGACCAAGCACAAGCTGCCTACAGAAAAGCTGCGGAACTTGAACCAGAACAGTTACTGGCCTGGCAGGTGTGTCATATAGTTCGGTGTGGATGTATGATAGTGTGCACATGTGTTTTGCTATGCTTTATTATTATTTATTTTTCACTCTGGAAAAAGAATTAAGTCAGCAGCTACAAATTCTGTAGCTGCTGACCGTTAAAAAAAGGACACTTACCTGCAAACACTGAAATGGGTATTTCAGTAAGTAAGTTGGCCATTATCATTCCATTTGAATAACACTGTTACTTGTCTACTAACAGCTAAAACCAATGGCCACTACTCCGTACTCTTACTACTTGACCTCTCTGTGGCCTTTGATACGGTTGACCATCCCCTCCTCCTCAAAAAACTCCACTCTCTTGGCCTCAGAGACTCTGCTCTCTCCTGGTTCTCCTCCTATCTATCGCAGTATTCCTTCAGTGTTACCTATAACGCTGCCTCCTCCTCTTCACTCCCTCTTTCTGTAGGGGTCCCTCAAGGTTCTGTCCTTGGACCCCTTCTCTTCTCCATCTACACCTCCTCCCTTGGTCACTTGATAAACTTCCATGGCTTTAAGTACCATCACTATGACTGATCTCATCTCACCCCTTCAGTCTCCTCTCGCATTACTAACCTACTAAGTGACATATTGGCATGGATGTCACTCCACTTCCTCAAACTCAATCTTTCCAAAACTGAGCTCTTAGTATTCCCCCCAGCCTGTGCCCCCTCCCCTGACTTCTCCAGCAAGATCAATAACACATTTATCAGTCCCTCCCCTCATGCCAGGGTATTAGGTGTAATCCTATACTCCCATCTGTCCTTTCAGTCCCAAATCCAATCACTGTCCAAATATTGTAGACTTCACCTTCATAACATCTCCAAGATACGCCCGTTCCTAACCTCGGAAACCACTAAGCAACTTATTCACTCCCTAGTTATATCTCGCCTTGACTATTGTAACTCCCTCCTCATTGGCCTACCGAATCGCAGGCTATCCCCTCTTCAGTCTATCATGAATGCTGCTGCCAGACTTATCCACCTTACTAACCGTTTCTGTATCTGCCACCCCTCTCTGCCAAGCCCTCCACTGGCTTCCCATTGCCCAACGGATAAAATTCAAAACATTAACAGTAACGTATAAAGCCATTTATAACTCTGCCCCAAATTACATCACCAATCTTGTCTCCAAATATCACCCAAACCGTACTCTCCGCTCCTTGCAAGACCTCCTGCTCTCTAGCTCCCTTGTCTCCTCCTCCCATGCTCGTCTCCAGGACTTTTCCAGAGCTTCCCCCATCCTCTGGAACTCTCTACCCCAATTTATCAGACTATCGCCTACTCTGCTCACTTTTAGGCGATCTCTGAAAACCTATCTCTTCAGGGCAAGCCTATCCTGCCATCAGCTAATAATGTAAACTTCTACTCTTCCAACCAGTCCATCCCCCACAGTTACTACCTTTTGTACCACTAGCCCCTCCCTCCTAGATTGTAAGCTCCAAGGAGCAGGGCCCTCCTATCCCTCTTGTATTGAACTGTATTGTTGCTGTATTGTCTCCCGTTATATTGTAAAGCTCTGAGCAAACTGTTGGCGCTATATAAATCCTGTATAATAATAATAATACTTGTATTAAACTTTGTCTTTTTAGGGGTTGGGGAATTTGTATGAAAAAGTCAGCCAAAAGGAATTTAAAGAGGACTTGCCAAATGTGTACAAAAAGCTTTTGAAACTTTACAAAATGTAAGTTAAAATAGACAACGATTGCAATGCTCCATATACAGAAATATCGACATGTCTGAAGTGATGCAATGTGATTGTTGTATGTTTGGTTTCCTATTTCTTTTGCTTGGATTGAGTTGCTTGCAACAAACACAATTTTTTTTTTTTCATCTTGGATAGAGTAAGGGCTTATTTTATGCTTGGGGTTGGCTCAGTTTTGTGGGTTTTTTGTTTTTGTTTTTTTCTTTTTTGCCCCTCTAACCACTCCCCCTGAGGTTGCAAAGGCAGGGGATGGGGAGTGAATGTATGCTGCTGTACAAGTTATGCCAGTCATTTTCAAGTGAAAGGGGCTGTGCTGAAACGGTTGCAGTGTTTTAGTGTGGCATTTAGAGGGTTAAAACAGGTCTCTCCTCATCGCCTGTTTTAACCCTCTAAATGCTGCACTACTGAAAAGCAATTTGAGAATGGATCACTTTGCAGAGCAGCGGTACTCCTTGCCGCTTGTGTAAATGAGGCCTTGGGGAGGGTTATTTCCTCTCAGGTCTTCTTTCCCCCCCCCCCCCCTATTGGTGAGAGGCCCATTCATTTCCTGTCCCTACAAAAGTGAGGGAATACCAGGATCACAAGAACTAGTGTCCTAATTGGAATTCCCTACTACGCCTGTGCTGGGCACAACCCAAAATCTGGGATTTTCTTTCACTTTTGCATTTGGAGATAATGGTAAATATGGTATGGTAAATATGACAAATAGAGGGCAAATCTCCCTAATGGGGCCAGAGACAGCAATTAAAACTTGACAAGTGTTCTAATCCCTCTGCATGCTATCTAAAGCATAAAAAAAGTGTTGCATGCTGTTTGATAATGTAATCTTGTTTTGGTAGTATAGGGATGCTAGAGAGCATGTATTATTAAAGCACTACTAAGCAGAAAGCTCAGCATATAAAGTGAGCAAGAAAACAAACTTCTTTTGCGTTCATTGACGAATACAGCTGCTTTTTATTTATCCATAACCAAACAGGGTTTTATAGCCCCACTTACAGGAGTAGGACACTAGGCAGAAAAAAATCAGCACCTCCTATGGGCAGTCCTCTCTAGGCATAAAACCCCCTCTCTGCTGTAGGTCTTCAGTTATTCTGCCTAGTGTCTTTAGAAGTATGTACGTGTTTTTTGGGCTGGGACTTGTGGTCCCATGGCTTTTTGCTTTTTCGGTTTCTTTTTTTCCTGGGATTTTTGCTTTCGGAGACCTTCTATCAGCAGTTGGGCTGGGTGAAGGGCTGGATAATATAGATCCAGTGGTCACCCCAGTCTGACAAGCGTGCGTGTGCAGACCACTAGCTCAGTACTCGGTCAGCTGTGGCATGCCCCATCCTGGACTAGGACGACCTTCCTTCCCCTTCTTTGGACAGTGCCCATAAGGATGCCAGCCTGTCGGGCTGGGGTGGAGTCCAGGGTTCAGACTCAGCTCCAGGTTGCTAGATTTCAGGGTAGGCTAGACTGCCCATCAGTGTCCTGGAGCTTCGAGTGACTCATTGGACAAATTGGACAAAAGTGTCTATTGCTCAGGATCTATTTGGGCATTGCCATCGCAGTAGCTTATGTCAGTCATCAGGGAGGTGCGTGAAGTGCAGCAGCGGTGCCGGAGACATCTCACACCTTGAGATGGGTAGAAAAGTTCATTTGGGCTCTCTCTGCCACACATATTTCGGGGGTCAACAGCTGGAAAGCAGTTTATATTAGCCGCCAGTCTCTGGATCAGAACGAGTGGTCTGTACACCCAAAGGGGCTCCATCAGCTCTGACTTCGTTAGGGTACCCTGGACTTTGATCTCTGGTGTTCCGTCTCTCCTGGATGGTTCCATGGTTCGTGGCAAAATCGTTGGATCTGGCAGACACAACAGATGTGCTAATGACCCCACAGAAACAGGACATTCTCATCTAGGCCTTTCCTCCCCTTTGACTGATTCTTCATCTTCTACGCAGAATGGAGGCCGGAAGGATCCCCATTGTTTCTGGTGGCTCCAGACTGGCTTCCCTATCCGAATTCCACTTCCACTGCCGTGGAGCAGTGGGTGGCAGACAATACCTGGTGGCTGCCTCTGTGGGAGGATCTGCTATCTCAGAGGCTGGTGTTCCACCCTGTTTGTCGCAGCTTTTGATGGCGGGCTATTGAAAGCCAGGTTCTGGAGGCCAGGGGGTTGTCTGGAAAGGTGATTCCATCTATGTCAAAGGCTCGTAAGTCTGCCTCCCGGAAGATTTATCATCGCACTTGGAGAACTTAAATCATTCAGTGCAATGCCTTGGAGTTCCCTCCTTGCTCTTCTCAGTGCCAGTGTTAGCCTTCCTCCAACATGGTGTGGATCAGAAACTGCATTGAGCATGATCAAGGGTCCTTTCTCTGCTATGCCTGGTTTCCTTTCAAGGTCCCTTGGCCATGCATTCTTTGGCTCACATCTTTTTTCCGGGTGTTCATCATGTTGTGCCCCCTGTGTGCTCCCTGTTGCCACCATGGGACTTGCATTTTGTGTTGTCAGCTCTTCTGAAGCCTCCCTTTTGAGGGCATTCGGGATATTCCCTTACTTACACTTTTTCAGAAAGTTGCATTCATAGTTGCTATCACTTCGGCTCGGCTGGGGTTGGAGTTGGCAGCTTTGTCCTGTAAGATTCCTTATCTGGTTTTTACAAGATGTTGTTGGTTTCAACCTTCCCCTGTCTTTCTTTCAAAGTTTGTGTTGGTTTGGAAGTCTGATTCTCTTTTTGTGCTCACGGACGGTCTGCAGAGAGCTTGGCAGCCTCTTCTGCCATTATCTCCCATTGTCTTCAGTAGAAAATTGTGCAAGTGTACGGGGCGGGTTTAGGACTCTTGAGCACCCTTTGGGGTGGTTCAGAGTGTTGACATGTTGCCCAGGGGTTTTCTCCATTAGTTGCTTTACCCTCCCCTCATTGTAGCACTTTGGGACATCCCTGTTTGGGTTATTGTTAAAGAAAAAGCAGCGGTGTCTATCAATGAACATAAGAGAAAATGGGATTTTTTTTGTTACCGTAAAATCCTCCCCTCCTCCTCCTCCCTCCTCCTCCCCCCTCCTCCTCCTCCTCCGATTTGCCCATCATTGCCGATAAAAAATCTGCCAAAATACCAAAAAACGGCCGAACAAATAGCCCACTAACGATCCGAAAATCGGCCGATTTTATTTTCGGCCGAAAAATCGGCCGATTTTCGACCCATCTATGGCCCCCATAACTCCTTGTAGGTGGTTCTATAAAACCCTGTTTGATTATGGATAAAGAAAAAGCAGCTGTGTCTGTTAATGAACTCTGAGAAAGGGAATTTAGGGTGAGTATACCATACATAGGTGTGAATGGGCCCTAAAGCTTTCTTTATTTAATGAGACCTGCTCAGCTATTAAATGCAGAGGTAGACGGGTTGTCATACAGGAGCTGAGATTTAAATTTGTGTACATGTATCTGGGAATTGTAGGTAAGAGAACACTAATTGGTAAATATTTTTTTTTCACTAGAGGGGTCTTTTTTTTTTTTTTTTTCTGGAAATAGCATAATTGAATTAAGAGCTAGCAGCTTACTTTGCTTCATTTATGAATATGAATCTCAGCAAAAATCTGTTTCCTGCCCTTAGCAATCAATCTGATTATTCTCCTCATTTTCTTTTTGCTTAGCTGGACGTTTTGTCTTTGTGGTTGCTATGGGATGTGACTTTTCACTTAGCCTAGTTTTTTTGCACAGTATCTTTAACGTGAAAGTCCAGACACAGGAACGCCTATCACCACTTTATGAGCACTGACAGGTTAAGAAAATGGAAGTGGATGGGATATATTAGGCAGCAAGTAAGCAGTTATCCATGAAGTTGACTTGCTGAAAGCAGAAAAAATGGGCATCGCATTTTGTTGTGCATGGGGTTGCATAGCCACAGAGCAGTCAGGGGTACCCATGCTGACCCGTTTACCTAGGGAAGTGATGGCACCAGGATGCACTGTAAGAAGAATGCAAGCCAGTGGAGGCAATGTTCTTTTGGTAAACCTTGGTCCTGCCATTCATGTGGAACAAATGTTACTCTGACACATACTAACTGCCTAAACGTTGTTGGTGACAAAATTCACCCCTTCATTATTATTATTATTATACATTATTTACAGTGGGGGCAAAAAAAACCATGCTCTAGTATTTAGTCAGCCACCAATTGTGCAAGTTCTCCCACTTAAAAAGATGAGAGGCCTGTAATTGGGCATCATAGGTAGACCTCAACTATGAGAGACAAATGAGAAAAATCCAGACAATCACATTGGCTGATTTGGAAAGAATTTATATGCAAATTATGGTATTTGCAAATTATGGTGCTGATGTGATTTGACTTACTTATTGTTGTTGCATGATGTCCATGTAAAAACTGTGTTGTTTGTTTGTTTTTTTTTTTAATTTGGATGTGTGGGAAAGAGTTATCATGGCTATCAGTTTTTTGTTTTTTTTTTTTTGTTTTGTTTTTTTTGTTTTGTTTTTTTTCATACTGGGAAAATTCATACTTTTCTATTTCCTAGGTGAGAGGTAATCTTTCACTTCCAGTGGCAACTATCTAAGAGGGGATTTCCTTTTAATTTTGGAGAGGTTTCTTGTTACTCCTATGGTGTTTCTTGTACTTGATGTGAATGGATACAAAGGTATACAGACAATAAAAAATAAAAAACCTGACGGGTTTTTCTCTTGCCCACTAAAGACAAAAAGGTTGTCTTTAGATATTTAACCATGCCTCATATGACGTCCTCCCCTTTTCTATTCTAACTGTGCATGTGTGGCTCCCAAAGCGCGCAGCTCGGCGATCATCAGTGCGCTGTGTCCTTCGGACACAGTGGATCACCGATCCATGGAAAGAGCCTAAGATGTCGGCTCGGTCATGTGATCAGCTGTGTCCAATCACAGCTGATCACATGTAAACAGGGAAATACCGGTTATCGGCATTTCTCTACCAACGAGCTGTCACGCTGACAGCTCTTGAGGAGAGGAGAGCCGGTAATCGGAGGGGACATGTACACAGATCATCAGAGCACTGATGATCAGTGTGCCATGATGATCTGTGTAGCCCCAGCAGTGCCACCTGTCAGTGTCCATAATTGCCAGCTCTCAGTGCTCATCCTTGCCACCTGCCAGTGCCCATCAGTGCCACATTTCAGTGCCCATCTGAGCTGCCTTTCAGTGCCTGGGCAGGAAAGGGGTATAAGTGCCCTGTAGGCTAGTGGTTAATAAAGAACTCTGGACTGATGTAAAACCTTTTATTGATATATATTGACACCCCCCCTTACCATAAATCGGAACTTTGGGATAGGCAAGTATTGTCTAAATACAAGAATCTTACTTGAACCTTGGTGTGCTTTGTGTATTTCTTCCAGCTCTGTGCTGTAATGTAGTGTAAAACTTTGCCTTTGTGCAGCAGCTTCCTGTAATAAAGACCAGTTACTGCTGCTCTCTCTCCTTGTACAGGGTGACTGGTCTTGTATCCGCCCCTGTAATTTTCTGCAGACAGCTCTGCTGTGATGATGTCACTAATAATTTTACAACGTAATATATGAAGTTTCAGTGCCATTTGGTGCACATGGTGTAGATTTACATCCCTTGTGACTATTGAGGAATATACTGTATTTAAATGAAAGTTTGTGTATCCAGAGTTTAGTTGTAAGTGCAGAGCAGTGGCTAAGTAGTTAGCACTTCCACCTGGCAACACTAGAGGAGTCAGTTCGAATCCCAACTGTGACACCACCTGCCTGGAGTTTGCATCTCCCTGTGCCTGCGGGGGTTTCCTCAAGTTATTCTGGTTTCTCTCCACACTCTCAAGACATGCTGGTAGGTTTTCTGGATCCTATCTAAATTGGCCTTAGTATGTTGGAGGTAGAGACTGATCTGAATGCAAATATATATGCACGCTGTACCTGTAATAAATAAAAGGCAAAACTTTTTTTCTTATTTTGGGTAGAGTATTGGAGGGTTAAAAACCCTGTCAGTTTATTTGCCATTTGTGTCCTATTTGGAATAATTTCCTTTACTTCCTTTTCAATACAAAAACCAGGAAGTGAGCAGAAATTTCTCTAAAGTGAGAGAAATTCTCTTAGATGGTTAACTCTGGAGTACAGTAAGTGTCCCAATTTGATAATTTCTCCCTTTTTTGTGTTTTACTGACAATATTTGGCAATTTCTTCCCCTTTGTTTCTGTGCCAGTGGTCACCAGGACAAGTAGGGATGATAATATCCTCAGCAGGCACACAAACTGAAGTGTTCTAACCCTTTACCTTTCTATCCAAGACCAGAAAAAAGTTTTGGCTTTACCCCTTAACCCACATATTAAAGTCGTTTGCACTTATTCCTTTTAACTGTCCCATTTCCAGCTCTATAATTACCATTTATTGGAATATATTCAAGATATGTCACATGAGCTAGACCAAATGATTTCCCAATTGATAAAACATTATTTTAAATAAATATACTCTTACAATCCAATGTCATCTCTCACATAACCAATATGTTCACTGAAGGATAGCCCATTCAATCAAGTGTGTCTGTTTGTTTTCTCCTAGCTCTGACAAACAGAAGTGGTGTGACATTTGTGAAAAACTGGTCGATCTGTACGAGCAAGATAGAAAAAACTTACAGGTGAGTGTGAATATTATCTACCACACTGCAATGTATATACAGAAATGTGGCAGTGAACATGGTGTGGAAGCACCTAGTTATAAGGATTGTAGCTGCTGTTCATTCATGTTTTTTTTTTTTTTCGTAAAGTTTATTGGATGTAGTTTTGTGCACTCAAGGGGGTCTGTTTATAAAACATTCACTGTATGAATGTGACACATATTTGCACAGTTTAAAAAAAAAACTGATTTTCCTGATTGAGATACTAGTCACATTAGAGTAAATGTGGGAAATTTTTTGTTCTTACTGTGCGGATAAACCTTTTTTTTTTTTTTTTTTTTTTTTTTTTTTTTTTTTGTGGATGAGTAGGGTTAGATACCCTATCAAGCAGGGGCGGACTGACCATTTGGAAACTCGGGCACTGCCCGAGGGCCTGAGGTTAGTAGGGGGCCCCATGAGATGCCTCTGGCACCAATTTCATAGGCTTTTTTGAGTTTGGGCAAGGACACGGGCCCCATGATCCCCTATTGCCCGGGGGACCATGAGTTGTCAGTCCGCCCCTGCTATCAAGCATTTATGTGTCTGGGTCCCCATTGGTGAGATTTACCCCACTATTTGTCCTGGTAATAGTTGTTAAAAGATATGTTAGGGGAAATCCAAAATTTTAGAGTTGTCCCTTGAAAAAAAAATACAAGAGGAAATCTTCCAATGGTGACACCTGTTCAGTAACAACTGTCTAAGGGGGGATTCTCCTCACATTGGGACATTTCCTCTCGCTTTCTGTTGCATCTCTGAGAAAGGAAGTGAAGGGAAATTACAATGCTATGGTGTGCAGACAGCAAAAGAAAACTTGACAGGGGGTCTAACCCTTCCCTACTCCATCCAAAAAGAAAAAAAAAACTTTTGTTCTAATGCAGATACAGTGGGGTACCTTCCACTGTCTTACCTATTGTCCCGCAGTAACCTCAGTCTGCCAGTCTAGTGTGGTAAAAAACTTGGTACCTCCAGGTGTGATGCGGCATCCCAGTGATGAACTCCCACTTTCTGCTGCACTCTGCCAAAATGGCCAATCACTGGTCTAATTGCTGTCATGGTTGGGGGGACGACGACACACAAGTAAAAAGCCATTTATACTGCATATTTGTTATTGCATATATGTATGTTTTTTGTATTTTTATGCAGGCTGCACAAACATGGCAACAGTTTATAAACATGAAGCAAGATGAAGGTATTAACAAGAGTGAACTTTACAAGTTATGGAGAAAGATGACCCAGCTGCTGGCAGAGAACATAGAGTTCCAAGACAATGAGATCCAGCAGCAGGTAAAACATGACATTGAAATATCTTGTATGTAGGTGTACCCAGTGTGCCCACACAATGCATATTGTGCTCATGTTCGTATATACACAGGAATCACTTCAACCTCTATGTTTTAGTGATAAGAAGATTTAAATATTGCTTTTAACAAAAGTAACAACCAAACATTAAAGAGAATATTCTTTTTTTTCCCCATTGTAGTGCTTGGGAAACGTTTATTTTTTAAATTTTAATTCTAGATGGAGTATTGAGCACTTTTAACTTCTGCCAAATTTTTATTGCTGCCTATGTCCTTGCTGGGTAGATTCACCCACATTTATCTCAGTGACATTTGTCACCACAGAAACAAAAAGTGATGAGAAATTCAAACAAGTCAATGGGTACACCTGTTTTGGTGACAACTGTGTAAGAAGGGAATTCCCTTTGTAGGGATTTCTTCTCGCTTCTGTTGTGGGACAGGAAGTGAGGGGAAATTTCTCTAATGGGACACAAACATTACATTAACAAGAGTTTTAACCCTTCCATACTCTTTCCAAAACGTGGATGTTTGGTGCAGAGACTGAAAGGAGTTTTTGAGTTGCAAAAATGGCACCCTCCCCCGACATGGTCCTCCTTACAAGCTCATTGAAAAAATAACAGCTCCTAATGCTGTCAATCAGCCAGTGAGCCAATGAGAAGAGAAGGGGGTGGGGCCAAGCCACAGCTCCATGTGTGAATGCACACTAAGTAGCAGCTTGGGAATGCACCTGCTTGGGTGCCCCCTTAGCAAGCTGCTTGCTGTGGAGCACAGAAAGGAGTGAGGGGCCCGGAGCACTGGCGGGGGACCCAAGAAGAGCAGGATCCGGGCTGCTCTGTGCAAAGCCATTACACAGAGCAGGTAAGTATAACATAACATGTTTGTTTTTTTTTTTCTTTTAAGTTATTTGTGGAAATATAGACAACATCCCAGGATATGTACACAAGAGGAGAATCAACCCCAGACTGAACAGAAGGAATGTGTAATTGGTACAAAAAAAAAGAGAGAGAAAATTCATGTGAAATGCAAGCTGAGCTCCTAGGTCAATGTACATTGGTGTCTTGTTGGACCATCCATGACTCAAAGGAAAAAGACCCAGACCCATGTCAGCTCTACTTTCACAGATGAAAAAATTAAAACTTCAAAGAAAAGAACACCATACCTTCTGTGAATCATGGCAGAGGCTCGAATATCTTTTGGGATGCCTTGAGTCTGGGAAGAGCACAATGAGATCTCAAGACTATAAAGGAATTCTAAAATTAAACATACTTCCCAGTGTCAGAAAGCTCTGTCTCGGTAACAGGTTATGGGTCCTCCAGCAGGATAATGTCCCAAAACATAGAGCTAAAAAAGCACTCAAGAATAGCCGAAAAGAAAACGTTGGACTATCCAAAGTGGCCTTCTATGAGCCCATCATCTATGGAAAGAGCTGAAAGATGCAGTCTACAGAACCGCCTTCCACATCTTTGCAATTATTTGTAGCTATTTTTATTTTGAGACTTTCCCTGGGTGTTTTTCTGGTTTACGCTAAGAGCACACAATGTACACTTTAAAATAAATTGTAGATAGTTATTTGGCAAATGTACTTTATTTTTCAATTGCTTTCATTAAGACAATATACAACCTGCTTTTATTCTAGCTCTTAAATGCCTTTGAAAATGCCATTTCCTACCTGGAAGAGGTACCAGGAGAAGAGCACCGTGCACTTTATCAGGACTTTGTTCTCTGCTTGTCTAAGGTACATCTTATATTCGTTTGGATAAGTCTATTCTGGAGCATTATATATGTGATTTGATGGTCTGATTTCATTTCATTATGCTTCAATGAAAATGAGAGGTTCCAACTGAGCTGATGTTGTCATCAACCAATTGCTGACTGCCGCACGTAGAAAAACATCCTGTCAGCAAGTGGTTAAAACAAGCTCGTGTTTTCAACTGCAGCCATGAGCTTGGTATTATTTTTACAGCCAGTGACCGACTGTGCAGTAAAAGTAATCAGAGTGGCTCCACAGCTGCCAGATCCTTATTACAATGGTGAGAATGATGGCCCCCTTGATATGGCAAAGTTAAATGGAAAAAAAAGTGTAAAAAAAAAAAAAGGTTAAAAACACCCCCTGCCCCCCCCGCACATACATGCAAATGTGCATTTAGTTCCTGCACATGTATGTAAACAGTAATTGCACCATACATGTGTGGTCTCTCCGTGCATATCAGAGCGAGATCAATCATTCTAAGACCATTATTGATGATTACCTTTACACTGATAACCTGTAAAGTCCTTTAAAGTGTCTCCTATGAAAAAAATTTAGATACCGTAGTTTGTTGCCATTTCACTGGCGTGTATAATTTTGAGTCTTCATATGTTTGGTATCTATTTACTCGACGCAATATCATCTTCTATATTTTACCAAAAAATGGGTTTTGTACTGTGGTTGTGTGCACTAAAATTAATTTTAGTGTATTTTTTCCTGAAAAACTGGTGTGCAAAATACTGTGACATAAAAAATAGCCACCACTTTATTCTCCAGAGCCTCTGCTTTCTGAAGCTATATAATTAATGGGGGTTCTAAGTAATTTTTCTAGCAAAAAAATACAGATTTGAGGCCCTGGGCCAAGTAATCTACATATTGAAATATCTTCAGTACACATTGCAATTGTCCCACGTAGTATACATTATGTACAGTTTGCAGTGATCCTCTCATGAATTAATCAGGATTGGATAAATCTAAATGAATCACCATTTCTGAACTTTCAAAATGTGTAGAACAGTAGTAGTCAATGTGAAAATTTCAAAGTGCTTCAAGTGCCCACCCAGACAGTTTGAGAGGGCTGCATAATCTCATCACGTTTTCATGTGTTGAGGTGCCTTGCATCAAATTAGGTAGCCTGTTAGAAATGAATGGGCTGCAACACACTTCTGTATTTTTTGCAGCATATTGCAGTGCGCACTGAAGAGGATCCAGGAATTAAATAAATAAGCCCTATTATTGCCCCATTTATGCCAGTGACCACAGTCAAAACCCCAGCGTCCGTGGCAGTGGTTGCATTTTTAACCCCCAGCGATGCTGTCAGTGAAATACTAATAATCTCCCCCCCTACATTGGTGGGTAGTTGCAGTGCTATTCAAACCTCCCCAATGGTGGTTAGTCGCAGTGCCAGGTACACCTATACCCTGGAGGTCAGTGGCAATGTTATTTAACATCTCCACATATCCCCACCTTTGCCAATTTTCTGTTCATAGTTTCCTAACCCTCCTCCCTCCACATTGGTGATCAGTTACATGATCACACATTCCTGTGCCACTCTCTCTCCCTGAGGCCAGGAATTTACTTGTGCTGTTGGCAGAAATTACTCCACCTCACAGGTTCTTTCTTTCTATGGTAGACGTCAGAGTGTTCCAGTGCCTGGAACCCACTGCTGTCCTGCTTCTCTCTTGTTCCTGATAGGTAGTGGGCCATGTGTCAGGCACCACTGGCATAAGCAATAAGCATGCTCATAACAATTTGGAGGAAAGACATATGCATTTAACATATTTGTTGAAGATATTCAACAAATTGGGTATAAACCTTCCATGTTTGGCTTTTACTTTGTACCTGTATTGCCTTAAAGTGATACTAAAGCTAAAAATTTTTTTTTTTTCCTCTTAATGCATTGCTTGCATTATGGTAAAAAATATTTGATATTTCTCTGTCCTCCCTCTTCCCTGTGTGAAGGGAAAGAGAGGGGAGAATAGATCGAGCGCTGTGCATGGCTGCATCTCTTCTTCCTCTTCACACAGGACTTGAGCAGCAGCAAGAGCCATTGGTTAAGCCCCACTGTGTAAGTCTATGGAACATGGCTCCATAGACATAGGGCTCAAGAGAGCAGACACCTTGTGCCTCCATAGCAAACAACGAGCTTGCTATGGGGACACACTAAGAAAAGGAGGAGCCAAGATCGCTGGCAGGGGACACAGGAGGAGAATCGGGGCTGCTCTGTACAGTACAGTTGCACAGAGGAGGTGAGTATACCATGTTTGTTTTATTTTAAATCTAGTCTCTAGTACTACTTTAAGTCTTACAGTGGGAAAAATGCAATTTTTTTTTTTTTACTGCCAGCTGCCGCATGAAGAAGCCAAGTTAAAATCGACCTGTAACAACATGACAGCAGCCTACCCTACCCTCACCTATCCTCTGGAAGTACTTAGCTTGCACCTCATTAGGTCCGGTAAGCAAAGCTTTGATTGTTCCTTAGGTTCCCAGATTGTCCCACTTTCTGCTGTGAGGATAATATTTCTTGTTCAAACATTTTATTAGAATTATAACAGAGAACAAGGCATTAACAGCAGGTAATGAACATTACATTGACATAAAGATATTGGGGAGAAACATGGACACTGTTGATGTCTTTATATGGGAAAGGAGAGCAAGAGGCAGGAAAGCAGAACTGCACAACTTATGATATCAGGAAAACAAAATTATGAACAAAAGGTATTAACATATCGCAAGAGTGAACAGTGGGGGTAATGACTCTCCCTAGCTGCATGGAAAGTTAGGGGCGAACAGAGGAGGACCAGGGAGGGGAGGGGAATGGGAGGGGGTAAAATGACCCCATGGTTGTCAGGGAAGGATATAATAGTGTGCCAGTATGGTTAGTAGTGGTACCAGATTAGTGCCGGAAATATACAGAGTTCACGTCAATGGAGGAGTGATTCGTCAAAATTTTGAGGGAGGAAACATTCTACCCAAGGATTCCAAACATTCAGGAACTGAGGGATTGTGTCAAGGATTGTGGCTTCCACTTTTGCGTGTATCATGGCTTGCGTAGCCCTGGTTTTAACAGCAGCAATGCTTAGGGTGGATGATTTCCAGGATTTTGCTATGACCTGCTTGGCTGCTATGGTAACTTGCAGGATAAGCTTGAATTGCGACGTGGTTACGCCGGGGGGGGGGGGCGCATATTGAGAAGAGCTGTTGTCGAGGTAGGTTGGAGTGGGTTTGCGCAAAGTTTGGATATCACATTAAAACATCAGCCCAAAAAGTTTGGGCTATTGAGCAGTCCCACCATATGTGATAGTGTGTTCCCGGGTCTGCACAGCCTCTAAAGCAGTTAGGGGAGTAGTTAGGGGTGTATTTAGCGATTCTCGCTGGAACCAAGTACCATCTAGTTAGAACTTTATAATTGGTTTCCAAGGCTACAATATTCTGTGACGATGATTTCGTGTTTGCTCAGATGTGGTCCCAATCAGAGGGATCTAGTTGTCTATTTAGATCTGTTTCCCACCTGCAGGTATATATAGGGGGGGATGCGGTGGTCGAAGTTGTGAGAAGCTGTGAGGATAATGTTTATAGCATAACTGTTCTGTGGGTGTAAAAGGTAAATGCAAAATTAGTCCAAAATATTTAAGTTTAAGGCATCAAATCTTTGCAGTGGTGTATAAATGGGAGTGAATGTACTGGGTCCTCTATATGGCGGCTTCATATGCCTGATATAAATATGGTGGATGTTTGCAATGATAATAACAACAACTTGGCTAAGTGCTAATTGTCTCTAAACTATCTACTAACCCTTAAATATAACTTGTGACACTCAACACACCCTGTAAGAAAAGTGCAACAGACCTACACCAAATAAATAAATACATCTATTTTCATTGTGCAGTATCTGCCTCGTTTTTTTTTTTTTTTTTTTTTTCTTCTGGTATTTGTCAATCTATATAAATTTAGGGAGGCAGGGGAGGACACAGACACATTTTCAGTTTGTTGGCCACTTATTTGTTTTTCTCTGCTATTGTAAGTAAAATAGTTAAGAGTGTTGAATGACTATATTGTTTTCATTCTGGGTCTTAAAAAAAAATCAATTTTATATATAAACAGTGTTGCTCTTTGAAATAGAGCCAATAATTTGAGAGAATTTCTTCTCTAGATCATTTGCTGGTTTCACACCTGTGCATTGTGGTGATGTGGATGCCATTTCCCCACCTCTCAGCCAATCATGGGAAGCTTTGTATTCAGTATGAAAATCCAAAGTTTCCTGTGAATGGCTGGGCAGGTCTGTCATGACATTAATTACATAATCTGTTCTGTCTTGTATTAACAAACTCTGCACCCCCAGCCTGCTTTGAAACATGCTACACATCTAAAATACCTCACAAATGCTAAATCTTTAAACACAGTAAATAAAAGATGTGTGCTGAAGCTTCTCCCATAAGTGCAGATGTCTGGGATATACAGTGAGCAGAGGTATGAGAAAAACAAATATTTTAAACATCACATTAATTGATTTGTAAAGAGTGTGTATATATAGATATTACATTACATTTTGTAATCTGGACTATAAATATGACAGCTGTAACCTGATTGGAGGCTGTAAATGACTTACATTTCCTTTCCTCCAGTTCTTTTCATGTTTAATCGTCCCCAGTATTCATCATTGTGACCTATATACTGACGTTTGCTGTTGAAATAGGATCTTAAAAAGGAGGTATATGCACAGATGATGATATACAAGTACATGTTATTTTGCACTTTCCCAGAGAACATGGTGTACAAAGTGATTCTGTACAGTGCTTTGCGGTACTACTTGTAATTACAGACAATTCAGACACATAATTAGTCTTAAATTCTGTTCTGCCTTAGAGGTGACTGCCAGCTACTTATCCTTCATCATGTAAAATAAAATATCATATTACTGGACCTTTTTTATACCACTTTATACCTATTTCTATAGCACAAGATAATCAGAACTTATTTAATTCTGGGTGTACAGACCACTAAGATCAACAGAATATATGGAAAATCCTTAACCATAATATAAAGTCCTACTTCCACTTTGCCCTAAGAGGAAGAGAAACAGATTCACTACTAACACATGTCTCGGTCCCTGTTCTGTCTCTCCAATCTAAGCATTGATAGTGTGATCTCTGTAACTTACAGTTGTGATGAGATAGCGATAACTTCAACCTCAGTTGGATACCACAGTTAGTGACTCAATCGATAAGACATCTTGTAGATCTTGTGAAGTTTATTCCGTAAACTGAGAGAATCTTACAACAATGAACATTCGATAGGTCAAAAGATCATAATGTTTCCTGCTCCATGACATGAGGCTAGAGCTGCAATGCATTTCTGGGAAAGGGCTAGCTTTACAGCCTTAACTAAACCAAAGGAAAGGGAGGAGCAGAAAAAAAATAAAGAAACACCTAAAGGCATATGACAGTCAATATGACAGTCATGTGAAACATGACAGTCCCCCATTGACAAAATGTCAGCACACTAAACCCACACCTACTAGAGACTTGCAAACAACAGACTTCAGACTCTAAATGCTCCTCCTCCTGCAAATTCAGCCTGGCTCCCCCATAAAATCATCCATTTCTCCTAACGCTCCTTATGGTTTTACTACCCCCTCTTGCACAAATCCCTCCCGACATTTTGCCAAACATCACCAATACACCTGACCCACTACACATCCCTCCCAATCAAAACACCCACAACATGCACCTGTCCTGCCTACACACATCCCTCTTAAAAGTAAGTATCAGTGTACTGTATATCACCAGTTTCTTTGGCTGCAGCCAGCACCTGAGCTCTGCAGCTGGCATGACAGATTGCCCTGCCCATGAGCTTTGCAGCTGGTGTGAGAGATCGCCCCGCTCCTGAGCTCTGCAGGTGCCACTCATCAGCCACTAACACCGCCCCCCCCCCCCAGTTGACAGACATCATAACATGGTCCCTACCAAACTGACTTCTCACACCAACTGACTGCCTTCCCCAGCAGCTTCACATTTCCATCTCCTTTCTGATGGCCATCGTCTCCAGCTGCCCCATCCTACCTCATGCTGTTAGACATCCTTTCCCAAGCACCTTTCACCTCTCTGCTGAAAACCCAGATCTCACCTTGTATGTATTATTCCTGTCGGTTAATGCATCTGTTTTCGACTGATTCTCTGCTGTTACCTATTCTATAATAAAATTCTTTGTAAAAGAAAACCCAGATCCCTCTCCAGCCTCCACACACATCCCCTTGCTGATGGACATCCTTCCTGAACCTGTTCAACTCTCCTCAGTCCCCACAGTAACCGTGTACCTATACACATCCCTTGACATCTTACCCACTCCCTCCCAGATGACAGATATCCCCCAGCCATCTTCACACCCCTCCCTCTTTCCTTCTACAGTCTGAGTCAATAGAAAATCTTAGAGTTGCCTACACAAAACAATCTGATAGTGCATACCATTTGCACTACAGTCCTACAGCTTTATACCGTCCACACTTCTCTCTATCACTTACTGCCTTGCTTCATACCCTCCCCACTCCAATTCTGCACGCTGTTAAACTTTTTGCATTCCACTCCTGCACATACTGTTCATTGCTCGACCTTCACATTCCTCACCTGTGCATACTACCTACTGTCACACGCTTTGTAGTCCTCTCCTGTATATGCTGCCCATCATCATAATAAACTCCTTTTCTCTCCTTTGCCTGCACATACTGTCCACTATAATGTCATTGTCTCTCCTCTGTTGAACATACTGTCCACTACAAAGTAACTTTCTCTCCTTTTCTGCACATACTGTTCACTATGATGTCCTTGTCTCTCCTCTCCTGCACATACTGTCCACTGCAGTCTTGTCTGTGCTCCTCTCCTGCTCTTACTGTCCACTGTAAAACCCTCAATGCTCCTTTCCTGCTCATTCAATCCATTGCAATACTGTCCCTTCTCCTGTCCTGCAGATACTATCCCACTTTATTAGCCTCCACACTCCTCTCATACATATATGGTCCACTGTAATACCCATTCACACGCCTCTCCTGCAACCCTCTCTTGCTTTCTGCACTCCTCTGTACTGTCCACCATAATACCTCTCGCACTCTTCTCCTGTACATACCATCCCCCCCCCCCCCCCCCCCGTAACGTAACCTCCTCCACGCTCCTCTCACACTAATTGCCATACTCCCCACTTGCCTCTCTTATGCATCTTATCCACTGAAACAGTTCTTCAGCATTATTTAGTATTTACACACTTTTGCTAGTTTTTTTGGTGAAAATACATAGTAATTTTAGCAACTGTAAAATTGGACTAAAGGGGTTATTATATCTGCCCATAGCCAGCTTTCAGCATTGGTAACAATTGCTTATAATTTATTTTTCCTTTTTCTTTTCTTTCTGTAATGGTGCATTATTTCATTATGTTTAGAGATTACAGTGGTCTAAAAGTTGATATTAAATTATCCTGTTGCTTTGCCACAGGAGACATTGGCGAAGAAGCTGTCCAGTGTTACAACAGGCTTTTGCAGTTGGATAATGACAATGGACCTGGCCTCATTGGAATGGGAATCACAGCTCTGCATGATAAAAAGTATGATCTGGCAGTAGAAAAATTGTGTAAAGGTAAAATACATGTTTATATAATTTTCTTATATATAGATCAGTCATATACTCAGTAGAAACAGTGATGTAAAATATTTTTATGCATTCTTTTTAGATCGACAGAATAACTCTTCACAATGTACAATGATACTTTGGGAATTATTACCCATGACAAACAGGTTCAACTTGCTGCTTTTCCAGTGAATGTAGTAATAAAAGAGGGAATGTGATTTCTGACAGTGTAGAGAGACTGCTCCTTTTTATAAAGCTTTTTTTTTTTTTTTTTTTTAATTTCCAAAGAGCATCATCATTGTAAACATGCTGAAGTAGTCCATTCAGTTTAGTGGAATTCTTTCTCCTGCAGACCGATACAGTAGGCAGTTGGCTGAGGCTGCATGGCTCATGATTTGACATTGTGCAACCTCGCTCTTTTGTGTGGCAGGAAAGGCTGCATTAGGCTTAGTAAATAAGAGGTGCTTGAACCAGAAAACGCACTGGTCTGCAATTTCACTGGCTAAGTGTTGTGTTTTTTTTTTTTTTTTTTATTTCATTCAAAAGATGAGAATATAGGCATAAAGCAAATGCCGGGATGAAAACAATAGCTTTCTCATCAGGTATTCTGTATCCCCTGGTACCCCTGTTTAAAGCAGAACTACACTGCATCTGAGCACCACAAAGCTAAAACACTATTGAATTCATTCTTAATATTCAAACTAAATGCAATCATCCATCCATGTCCCCATACTTTATTTTGCTGAGAAATCACTTTGAAAAACAACCCCCTTAGCATTTCTGGCCATGGGGCCATCTTGAATAAAGGCAGATGATTTGTGTAGCATTTACTACCTGGAATCCCTCTACCCTTAGTTCAGGCATACAGACAGGAGGGTGTGCCTAATTAAGAAAACCACTCCTCCCTTCCAGAAGACTCCTGAAATATAGGACATCATTTTCCTAGGACTGGAAAGCAGGAAATAACTGAAGAAATGAAAAAAATGTTTTAAACAATAAGTAAATATATACTTTCCTATCTATTAGCTAGCAGAATAAGGCTTAAAAATAGCCAATGTTGATTGAAAGATTGACGTTCCACTTTAAATACAAGTTTGCATATTCAGTTGGTTTTGACATGCAGAGATCACTTATTTGATGCTGTAGATCCATCCCGGCTATCCCCTCCTTTTAAACATTTATTTTGGTTTCTAGGCGTACATAAAGTGAGTTCATGCCCCCATGCATGGTTCTTTCTGGCCCAGGCTCAGCAGAAATTACACAGATATGAAGAGGCTGTTCTGTCCTGTGAAAAAGGTAAAGATGTTTTTGCATACTACTTTGTAATAGTGGTATTATGCTTTTTCATTTACTTAGAATAGGATGTTTTTTCTTTCTTCATTCAGTTATCAATGCTTTGTCTCATGATAACCTATCACCGAGAGACTGTGAACAAAAGAATATTACTCTGCAGCTGAAAGCTGAAGCAATGCTGGAATACTGTGACCCTGAAGAGATCCTGAAAATTCTTGAGCAGGTGGGTAAAGTACTTTTGGGTATGAACCCATTGCAAACCTCATGGTTTGTTCCCTTTCAGAGGGATTGTGCCCCGTCCAGTTATTTAAATCAGGTTGGAATGTAATCCTTATATTCTCTAAGCACTAAGCCTTTTATTCTAAACTTCTTGTCATATTAGTAAAAGTGAGATCTGCGTTATTCTTCAATTGGGGGATAATATTGAAATTAAAATGCATTGTAGTAAATAAAAAAAAAAAAATCAAAGTCAGCAGCTACAAATAGTGTACAGTTGCAAGAAAAAGTATGTGAACCCCTTGGGATTACGTGGAGTTTTGCATGAATTGGGCATAAAATGTGCTCTGAACGTCATCTAAGTCACAACAATAGAAGAACACAGTCTGCTGAACATAATACTACACAAACATTAGATGTTGCCATGGTATAATTGCACATAACATGTAAACATTCACAGTGCAGGGAGGAAAAAGTATGTGAACCTTTGGACTTAATAACTGGTTGACCCTCCTTTGGCAGCAATAACCTCAACCAAACGTTTCCTGTAGTTGCAGATCAGACCTGCACAACGATCTGGAGTAATTTTGGACCACTCCTCTTCACAAAACTGTTTCAGTGTAGCAATATTCTTGGGATGTCTGGTGTGAATCGCTCTCTTAAGGTCATGCCACAGCATTTCAATCGGGTTGAGGTCAGGACTCTGACTGGGCCACTCCAGAAGGCATATTCTGTGCTGTTGCAGCCATTGTTTTGTTGAATTACTTGTATGCTTTGGGTCATTGTCCTGTTGCATCACCCATCCTCTGCGGAGCTTCAGTTGGTGGACAGATGGTCGTACGTTTTCCTGCAAAATGTCTTGATAAACTCTGGAATTCATTTTCCCATCAATGACAACAATCCGTCCAGGCCCTGAGGCAGCAAAGCAGCCCCAAACCATGATGCTCCCTCCGCCATGTTTTACAGTGGGGATGAGGTTTTGATGTTGGTGTGCTGTGCCTTTTTTTCTCCACACATAGTGTTGTGTGTTCTTCCCAAACAACTCAATCTTGGTTTCATCTCTCCACAGTATATTTTGCCAGTAGTGCTGTGGAACATCCAGGTGCTCTTTTGCAAACTTCAAACGTGCTGCAATATTCTTTTTGGACAGCAATGGCTTCCTCCGTGATGTCCTCCCATGTACTCCATTCTTGTTTAATGTTTTCTTTATTGTAGATGTGTCAACAAAAATGTTAGCATGTGCCAGAGATTTCTGTAGGTCTTTAGCTGACACTCTGGGATTCTTCTTTACCTCATGCAGCATTCTGCGCTGTGCTCTTGCAGTCATTTTTATAGGACGACCACGCCTAGGGAGAGTAGCAACAGTGCTAAACTTTCTCCATTTGTAGACAGTCTGTCTTACCGTGGACACAGGAACATCAAGGCTTTTGGAGATACTTTTGTAACCCTTTCCAGCTTCATGCAAGTCAACAATTCTTGATCGTAGGTCTTAGAGCTCTTTTCTGCGAGGCATGGTTCACATCAGACAGTGCTTCTTGAAACCAGTAAACCCAAAACAGGTGTGTGTTTTTTAAGGGCAGGACAGCTGTCAGCAACACATCCAATATCATTACACTGATTGGAGTCAAGGTTGGCTCACTCCTGGCTCCAATTAGCTCTGGGAGAAGTCATTAAGCTAGGGCCTCACATACTTTTTCCTCCCTGCACTGTGAATGTTTACATGTTATGTGCAATTAAAAACCATGGCAACATCTAATGTTTTTGTGTAGTATTATGTTCATCAGACTGTGTTCTTCTATTGTTGTGACTTAGATGACGTTCAGAGTACATTTTATGCCCAATTCATGCAAAACTCCACGTAATCCCAAGGGGTTCACATACTTTTTCTTGCAACTGTAGCTGCTGACATTTAATATTAGAGCACTTACTTGTCCAGGTATCCAGCAGTGTCTTCACCCGTGCCAATTCAGTCGGCTTTTGGGTGCTGGCACTTTGTGAATTTGCCGCAGTCTTCTGAGACCTGTGAAGTGTCCCAGAAGGCTGCAGGGGAAAGAGGCCCCATCTTCTGGGTCAGTTCGCCGCCGTGAACTGAGGCGGAAGTGGAAGCACGGCCCCCCCTTCAAAAGGTGCCAAATGTGGGCAGTGGAGGGGGGAGGAGGCAGACAAGCGGAGCTTCCCCTTTGGAACTCCACTTTAGGGATTACCTTTTTAAAGTGGTTCTGTATTAAAAGTTATTTGTTATTTTAGAACAATATGTCAAAGTACAATACACTTCCTTACATGTGACTGTGACTTTGGACAAAATGTGCCTATAACTCCGCAATACTGTAGGTTTATGTGTTCCCATTCAGCAGGAAGGAAGGGCAGGAAGTGAAGGGAAAGCTGCCCAATAGGACACAGATGGCAAATATAAAACTGACCGGGGTTATACCCCTTTCTTACTTTATCCAAAATAGCAAAAAAAAATGTTTTTCTTATAGTTCTACTTTAATTATGGAAAACACAGTTGCCCAGCCCCCTAATAAACAACGAGCACTGGTAAGATGTTACAGTACTGCATTTTCTAGAATAGAACATCTAAAAAAAGGTGAGCAGCATTTTTTAAGTATTTTTTTTTAATTTAGCATATGAATGAGAACATGTACAAACATAATACAATGTTTTTGATCAAGTGGTTTAGACTTGTTTTGCTGTTCATTTTGACAAGCGTGTTTCTGAGAGTAACCTCTGTGTATATGTTTTTTTCCCATAATATACTCTGTTTGGAAAGTGACAGCTTTACTTAGTATGCAGCCCCAATTCCAAAAAATTTGGGAGTAAATTCTGCATAAAAACAGAAAGCAATGTCTAACAAATATCATAAACTCGTGTTTTATTCACAGAAAAAAACATATCAAAGATAAGAAAATGTAGCATTTTGAGAAAATAATAAGGTAATTTTGAAATTGATGGCAACAACACATCTCAAAAAAGTTGGGACAGGGCCATGTCTACCATGGTGTAACAGCCCCTCTTCTTTTAACAGCACTGTGTAAATGTCTGGGAACTGAGGAGACCAGTTGCTGGAGTTTTGGATAGGAATGTTGTCCTATCCTTACCTGATATAGGATTTTAACTGCACAGAAGTCCTGGGTCTTCTTTGTTGTAGTTTTCATTTCAAGATGCGTCAAATATTTTCAATTGGTGAAAGGTCTGGACTTCAGTCAGGCCAGTTAAGCACTCAGGCTCTTTTACTACTCTTTTACTACTAGGTTTCTGATGGGAACATAAGCTGCTATAAAACCTGGATAATATCTTTCAGCTTTCCAGTTGTGCAAGCTGCCTATTACATACTCACTAATGCACCCTCATACCATCAGAGATGCAGGATTTTGAACTGAGCACTGATAACAAGCCTGAAGGTCCCTCCTTTCTTTTGTCCAGAGGACATGACGCCCATGGTTGCCAAAAATAATGTAAAATTTCGATTTGTCTGTCGGCAGAACAATTTTCCACTTTGTAACAGACCATTTTTAAATAAGCTCTGGCCCACAGAAGACAATGGCATTTCTGTATCATGTTCAGATGTAGCTGCTTCTTTGCATGATAGCTGCTTTGGATGGCACAGTGAACTGACAGTGATTTTTGGAAGTATACTTGAGTCCATACAGAATCATGCTTGTTTTTAATGCAGTGCTGCCTGAGTGCGTGAAGATCATGTGCATCCAATATTGTCCCTTGTGCACATAGATTTCTCTAGATTCTCTGAATCTTTTGATGATATTATGCAGTGTAGATGATGATAAATTGAAAGTCTTTGCAATTTTACATTGAAGAACATTATTCTGAAATTGTTCTGCAATTTTTCACAGATTGGTGAACCTCTGCCCATCTTTATGTCTGAGACACTCTGGCTCTCTATTTTATTTATTTAGATTTATTTTTATTTACAAGGAGGATAACAATAAATGTGCAGGTAAACAGAAAGCTCTTAAACAAATATTTATTTCCTCTAGATTTCTAATAAGGACAGTGACCCGACTCTCGTCGCCCTGAAAGGCAAGGTGTATTTAAAGAAGGGTTTTTTGGAGCAAGCATCTAAGGTAGGTTTCCTGTATAGTTAATGCAATTCATAAACCAGACTACTTGTCAAAACTAGGTTGACTATGGGGTCGATTTACTATAACTGGAAAATGAAAAATTTGATGCAGCTGTGCATGGTAGCCAATAATCTTGTAATCTCAGCTTGTTCAATTAAGCTTTGACAGAAAGAAAACTGGAAGTTTCTATGCAGAGTTTCACCAGATTTTGCATTGTCCAGTTTTAGTAAATCAAACCCCTCTGTGTTTATGCAATTGACTTGGAATTTACATTTTCCTATACTAAGGTCTTCTTTTCAGTATCATTTTTAATAATCATGTAAAAAAGATTTGCTTATTTATGTCTCTTTTGACTAATTTCCATGACATCATATTTAGGAAATCTCTACTGATATAAAAAGGTAACCTGCTATAGCTGACGTTCTTCTGAAAATACAGTATATAAATAATGTAGTTTCTATACATAACAACTTCCACCCCTGCAATGAAACAAGTGCGACAGCATACAGTGACAATGTTACTTTAGCTGTCCCAGTTGAACAATGATAAAATGCGTTGGGATGATACCACACACATGGCCAGAGGGCGGAGTTGTGTAAGCTGCAGCCGGAGTTAGTGAGCATGTGTTTCCATAGTCAGAGGTGGTGGGGGCAGACAAACCGTTGGAACTGAGAGATATATGTGGATTGGACTGGATTATTTTTTATTAATATTGATGCTTGTTTACTTGCAGTTTCAGAGCACTAGTGTGTGGTTGAAGGAGTTAAAGCAGGTGGTGAGAAGGTGATACAGTGCCTCCTCTCCACCTGTCCAGTGATGTAGATGCAGAATGACCTGAATGTTGATCTGTTGAGGGTCAAATCACACCAGTAGTAGTGGGCTGTGTTGCCCAATGTGGTCTTGATGCAAGAACAAGGCATTTTTGGACAGTTAACAAATATAGGAGAGATGCTACATTCTAGATCAATAATCATCTTTTTAGTAAAGGAATTCCTGTTGCATGTGCCGTATACCTTCACTGATGCATTTTGCTCTAAGACTTAGCTCATATGGAGTGAAACGTGTCAGAGTAGAAGCTGCGGTGAATTTGTTTAATACAAAAAGAAGGTTATTTATCTGAAGCACAGCTTCTTTATTTTTTTTGGCATTTGTTATGTGAGTCTAAAGCAAGGTGAGATCTGGCATCTAGGGCTAAGTGAATAGGGGGACAATTTTCTGAATCTACTTTATGGTGAACACTGCAAAAATGGCTCAATATATGAGCTAGCTGAAAATTATATTAGATTTTCCTTTAAATGAAGATGCATCTTATCTGACCTCCAAAACAAGACAATTTTTTTTTTTTGTTATGTACTTCCTAGTTTTTGAATAGGAGTCAGTGGGAGCCAATGCTGTGCCTGAGGAATGACCTCTAACTCTTTTTAGACTTTGTGTGTGTGTGTAACTGATGCATGTGGTGCGATTGAACAGAGTGCATTTGTAAAAGAAAAAGATTTTAAAAGTCAAGGCTATTCTTGGTTCTTAGTACTGTATTCCTTCAAATAATTTTACAGGCTGATTTATAGCATTGAAATATTTTTCCAGTATACAGTTACAGCACAGCTTGTGAAAAATTGCAAATCAATTTTCGATTCTTCAAATGCTTTTTCACAATGGGAAGCCAATTATTGTATTGCGTGTGCCCCATTTTATTTCTTTGTTCTATGAAAACAGAATTATTAACCCTCTTGTAACCAGAGGTCATAAAAGCTTAGCTGCTTTGACCAAATTTACCAGTATCAGGATTCCTTGATTACCTCAGTAATAACTCTGTGACTTAATTGCCTACCTAAATGACTTTATATACTCTCTGAAAACTACACACGTCTCACCCCCAAGGTGGTGACGTCCTTAAGCTTCCTTGGTGACTGCTAACTTCTTTGCTATTTCTTATTGTGGGTACAAGATAGATGAGACAGATAAAACTTTATTTTGGTGTTTTTTATTCACCACTGGGAGTTTTTTTTTTTTTTTTTTTTTTTTGCTATATAAATGAAAAAGTCCAAAATTTTAGAAAAGTGTTTTTCTTTAAAATTTTGCAAATAAATAATCTTTCTTCATAAATCTTGGCCAAAAAAAAATAATCCAAATTAGTTTATAACCAAAATTGTATAATTTTGAAAAAAAAAATTTAATTTTTATTTTTTTATATTATTATTTTTTATTTTAATATACTGTCACCCTAGCAGTACAGTGTCAACATAGTAACACTGTACTACTTGTGGGGGTGATGAAGATTTTTTTTTTTTTTTTTACACTGATTGCTTTTATACCCATAAAGGCTGTAAAAGCAATCATTTCTCCTCTCTGGCTGCATTCTTGCAGCCATTGAAAAATACTGTGGGAGCTGTTGTGAATAGGAAATAATGGTGATAAATAGTAAGCGCTCATAAATAATGCAAGCAGCTGAACATATAGGAAAACACATAAAAAGTCCCAAAATACATAAACAGAAGAAATGCAGCGCTCTTAAAAATGATATTAGAAATAATAATAGACACAGTCCAGTAAAACAACAGTGTTCCTTGTTTCCCAGTGTAAATGGTAGAATTTTGCACTAACCAGAACGCGCATGGGTAATGCGCATATGTGTATATATCCTGAAGATCCTTTCTCCACTGAAGGCTGGTCAGGTATATGGCTTGGAAGAATGAAGATCCTGCGCCCTCATGTGGTGGGAAATGATCCAGCAGGTCAGAGCAATGACGATCCAGATGAGCCTCCACAAGGAACTGGCACAGGAATCCCAAGGGCTGCAAGGATGGAAAAGCTCCTCACAGGAGACACAGGGGAGCACTCATAGTGCAGTAATTTAAAACTTTATTTGAAAGCAGCATAGGTGCAGAATACAGGAGAATAGCCAAGTATGGGCAAACACACTGACCCTATTGGATGTCAAAATGGCCGCCGGGCCTCCTCGTGGCACCGGCGGCTTGATGTCAACGGCGTCCTAGGGTCCCACCTGACGCGTTTCGTGCGCACGCACTTCCTCAGAGGTGGAACATAGGGCTGCTGTGACCGTTCGATCGTACTTAAATATCGTATTCCGCGCATGCGCACTGATGCGGCGCCATCTTGCCGAAGTCCGTGCGTCCGCAAAACCCAAGTGCGCATGCGCGGGTGCCATTTCACCGTGGGCCAGGAGAGAACGGGAATCACTGAAGAGCGGCTCCATATAAGCGGAGCTCGGCTGTCCGAGATAGGCTCACAGCGCATGCGCGAATGCCATCATCCGGTGTATACACAGTGCAATCCCACTGGCGCAGGGAAAAGTGAATCTCTGATAGTAAATGACTACAGAACCCGGTGTTGAAACACAGAGAAGTAATGAATGAAAAACCCCACCCAAGGGCATCCCATACAAAATGATACATGTAAAAAAAGAATAATATAAAAACCAGATCAAAATAAACAGAGAGCTGGTGACAGTGCTGCTATGATAAAAGGCCATTAACTCCATATGCCCCAAACAAATGAAGCGGGGTTAATGGTTAATGTTAAACCGATTGTGAATCAATCGTAATGTCACGCCCCCACCGTAGGGAAAATTACCTATAAATAAAATTAAGGACACCACGGTGGAATGGCAAAATAGTACTAAAATAACGCATGGGAATTGGTCAACAGAGATGCGATCAAGACCCATATATGACATAATAACATACATAAAACGTGCAAGATAGAATCCCAAAATTATGGAATGACAAATGATAAGTAAAAAGTAGATAAAATTAAATAAAAAGCGAAGTGCAGTTGGCACCAGCACAATAAAAAGAACTATTGAGGGTCAAAATGCAAATTGTACCAGCGCATGTAAAGGATGACGGGATTAATGAGTAATCCTATGTCAATGCGCAAAAGGGGCCTAAGGCATGATGTAAACTGGTCCGCTTACTTGGCCTGAATGTGTGAATTGGCAATAGAAAATGGATAGCAATGTGTCTAATATCGAAAGGTAATAGACAAATCCACAAACTGTTAGTCCAGCACCGCAGAATTAACTGTTGTCAATGAAACAATTGACATCCAGTTCGATATTCAAACCTGCAGGATATAAAGTATCTAATTCAAAAATGTGTTTTAGTCTCTAATTGTGAGACGGCCCTAGTTTTACAAGTTCCTCTCCAATGTGGAGTCACAATGTCAATGCCCACAAATCTCAAGCTGGTAGGGTCTCTGTGATGATGTTTCCTATAGTGGAGGGACAAGGAGTGTTCCTTAAATCCCTTCTTGATGTTGTTAACATGTTCTCGAAGGCGGTCCCTAAGGCGCCTGGTTGTCCTACCAATATATTGCTTGAGACAGGGGCATTCCAGTAAATACACAACAAATCTGCTATTACAGCAAATAAATTTATCGATGTTATACGATCTCTTAGTTTGGTTGGAGGTATAGGTGTCTATCTTTCTTTTCCTCATACCATTACATTTACAGGCGATGCAATTGTTGCATGGGTAGAAGCCCGTATAGTTAAACAGAGTGGGAGGTGATTTAGGCATGGTAACAACATTAGGGGCTATTTTATCCCGCAAGGTGGACGATTTACGGAAGATGACCTCGGGTTTCTCCGGAAGTATCTTAGCAAGGGTGGTATCAGCCTTCAAAATCCCCCAGTTCTTAGTAATTATATGTTTAATGGATCTATATTGGGCAGAGAATGTTGTAATAAATGGACATACCAAATTTTTAGGTGGTTTCGTCTGGGTATTTAATAAATCATGCCTATCCATGTTGGTTATTAATTCCATAGTTTCATTCAAAACCTTCCCGTCATATCCTTTCTCAAGGAATCGTTCTTTAAGGATATTAGCCTGCGTATGGTAAGTGTCGATGTTAGTACAATTTCTTCTCAACCTGAGGAATTGTCCCTTTGGTATACCTGCCAACCAACTGGGATGATGACAGCTCCCTAATGGGATGAAACTATTTCGATCGGTGGTTTTGAAAAAAGATTTGGTAGTAAT